TGTAATATCCCAAAATTTTGGGGTATTTTAGCATTAAACTGGGGACTTATTTGAAGAAAAATATTGTTTTGGGGCTTAATCGTAGAATTTTAAAAAGTTGAGAGGCTAAAAAGAAAGGAAATTAGGATAAGGATCAGCTGATATTTTCATTCCTTTTCTTCCCAGCCATACACGTTTCTGCTCTGTTCTTCTTCTCGATCCTTCCTCCCGACAAGCCCCCCCCCCAAGCCACCGACTTTCTTTCCCCCTTGAAAAGCCGGTGAGATCTTGATGAAGTTCCTTCCTTTTCTTGTTAAATCACGAGATTTGGGGCCTAGAATCTTCCCTCTCAACCCAGAAATCCCGGATCTGCTCTGCTTCTTCCTCCCTTGTCCGTCGGGTTCTGCTGGGTTTGAATCCTTCGGCTTTTTCTGGTAAGAAGCAGCCTTGAATTCATCCTTTCTCTCTTCATTTGGCTTGGGTTACTCTAATTTTGTTATTGGTTCTTGAATTTCTGGAGTGTGCCGTGAGTTTCTCCCCCCTGGATCCCGTCGGCTTCCTCACCAGCCAAGCTCGGGTTCTGCTGGCTGGAATTCTGGTAAGTTGCCGGCTTTTCCAAGCTTAAAATTACCCATTTAATTGTTGGGTTTTGTCCATTAAGTGCTGCCCTGTGTTTGCCCGAATTTTGCTAAAATGGGGGAGGAATTCCGGTAGTATTTAAATGTGTTTTGTGCTTGGTTTATGTAGGAATTTTGTTAATTGGGCTGTTGTGATGTTGTGTAGGAGTAATCCCGTGACTTAGCCATTGTTGGCCAAAGCCGTGGGTCTCCATTGCTTGTCCGGGAAATTGGAATGAATTTTGGTAGCTTAAAGCTATGTTTTTCAGTGTGGTTTAAGTAGAAAATTAGCTTGAATTGTCTGTTGTGTGATTTTTGGAAAGAAAACCCCGTGATTAGCTAGTGTTTTGGCTAATGTTTGGAAGTGGCAGTACTGTTCACGTCGTGAGCACTGTTCACTGGGTACTGTTCACCGGGTACTGTTCACACACCGAGGGTTAATGATTAACGGGGATTTAAAGGTTTAGTTTGTGATATAAGAATGAAATTGGAGATGTTCGGTTATGTGGAGATTGATAGAAATAGCACTGTGATTGGGGGTAGTGTTGATGATGATATCAGTTTGAATTTATGGTAGTGCGATATTAATTCTTGGAATATTGTGATTAGGTTTTGATCGTTCTGTCACCGTAGCACTTGGGTTAGCCTTCTGTTCTGTGCGAGTGAGGTAAGTAAATTATGGTAAAGCCCTTCGATTTCAAAGTATGTTTTCAATTGTTTTTGAAATGGTGGCAAGGTTTAAATTGATTTTAAATTGATTTTATCAGCACCTGAACGTGATTAAATTGAAATGGAAATTGTGATGGTTTTAATGAGAATTTCCTTGTTTTTCTGAAATTGAATATGATTGGAATGAAAATGAGCATTTTATTGATTTTCTGGAAATGAGCATGATTGAAATGAAAATGGGAATTTCATTGTTTTCTGGAATTGAGCATGATTGGAATGAAAATGTTTACATGGTTTATCTGACATGCTAAAGTTTTTACCGAGGGCTATCCATATTTACTTACTGAGTTATCTCATAGTTTTCCTTGTCCACCATTTCAGGAATCGAAACCGAGGACGGGGAAACCAAGGGGAGTGACGAGGTAGAAGGCTAGCCATTCGAATTGGATATAAGTTTAGATTTTATCATCCTTTAGTAAAATTGATTTTATTCTTGAGATTTTGGTGATTTGAATAAGTTCCGAGCCTTGTGCATTTGTGGGACTCTCTCACGAGTGCACGGCGTCTGTCGCGCCTCGGATTTGGGTTCTGGGGCGTGACATCAATTGTTCAAATAAATTTAAATTAATTAGTTTTGGTACTTAATTAATCATAGTTCTCATGTATTCAACACTCTTCTCATCATTATATTGCTTGGAGTGACTAGTACACTTACTAGAGTGATTTTAATGCATCAAGTTTTTAGCACTGTTGCCAGGGATTGTTGAATTTAATTAATATCGAAGTTAATTAACACTAAATTTAATTTGAACATTTTCTTTTCTTATCTTTTATTTCTTTACTTTTTGTTTCATTTCCTTTGTTTTTGTTTTGCAAGTCTAATTATAGATCGAGTTGCCATAGACACTAATATAAATTATCAATGTCTTGCTCTAGAGTTAAGGGTACAAGTTGAAGCAATAACTATCAATTGGGAAGCAAAACTTGGCGATGATGAACTTGAACGATTTCAAGCAGCTATTAAAAAGTTCGAATTAATAAAGGTTATAATAAAATAATTTAATATTACTTGTCGGTGGTGTGAATTAGAGCATTTTAGTTTAATTGTTATTTTAAACCATTGTTTTAAAAATCAAACCCAATCAGTCCATTGAATCGGTCGGATTGGTATCCAGTACTATAAATGGATCGGGTCAACATTATAACCGATAAGGTGATTGAACCACTCAAAACCGATCAAACCATTCAAACCGATACAAACCAATAAACCATTCAGACCGATACAAACCAATAAACCATTCAACCAAACAATTTAAATCTTTTGGAGAATTTTCCTTAAATTTGCTACCCCAGATTTTGAACACAAGACGAACTTTTGCTGCTAGGACGTTACCTTTTTGATTGAAATGATTTGCTAACAATTTTATTTATTTTATTTTTGAAAGAAAAGAATTGGTGATACCATCCAATAGAATCAAACTTCCTTGCCTTGTATCATTAACTTTCATGTTAAAATTAATATAGTGTTCATTTAATTTTTATCTTAAATATATAAATTA